TGATATGTTTGCAAGTGGCAAACTCTTAAGGAAATCTCCTTTTCCACCCTGACTTAAATGACTAAATCACGAGGCTCCCCTGAAAGTATTAAGTATAGACCATTTTATCAACCCCCTGCTTTCTCCATACAGCTCCAAGTTCTCTCTTGGAGACTGGCAGGCTGAATTTCTAACTCTTGGGCCAGCGCTGTTCTTGGCCTATTCCTGCTCTCTACACTCAGGGGCTCTGGGTGGGGTCTCTTCCACAGTGCAGTCCAGACCCTCTGCAACAGTCAACTGGGAAGCTGGTAAAATGCTCAGTCCTGGGATCCTGGGGCTCTGGCATCCATATTTAGCCAGGTGATCCTAGGCAGGATAATGCTTGAGAACTCTGGAGGTCAGGGAGGCAAAGTGAATCACAAAGAGCTTAAAGAGTATTGATTTTCGACTGTATGTGGGGGGTATCCCAGAGGCAAAAAACACTTAAAAACCAACAAATAAAAACAATGAATAACCTTTAATTAGAGATTCTTTTTGGTTAGTGAGTGCCTTTTTAAAAAAATGCAAGAGCCTTTTGGGCAGGGTTAAATCTGCTTTACAATGAAACCCATTAATTTAATGACGTGTGCTTTCCTCCTAATGTTCAGTTAAGGACAGCCCTGTGAGAGTTAAGGGTGGGTTGATTTCAAAAGATGGGGAGAAGGATTATCTGTTTGATTTTGTGTGAGATCTGTAAATTTCAGTGGGAAGAAAGCCCAGGATAGTCAGTGAATGGATGGATGGGAGGTTGGGGGTCTGGAAACTCAGAAGTGAGACGTGACAGGTAGTGAGGGTCACGAGACCTGATGAGGGGCAGAGGGTGTCTATTAGAACAGTGTCAGGACAGGTGGATTGGGGAGGGCACACTTGTAGAACTTGACTGACCCAGTGGGTGTTTTAGCCCAGTGCTTCGTACCCTGGCCCGGCTGAAGCCCACCATGACCTTGGAAGAGGGACTGCCCAGGGCCGTGCAGGAGTGGGGGCGCACCAGCAACTTTGACCGGATGATCTTTTATGAGATGGCAGAAAAGTGAGTCTGACGAACCCTCATTCTCCTGTCAGGGGCTGTGTGCTGAGAGGGTTGGGGGCAGGTAAGAGAGGCTTGAGTCTGGGTGATTATTAAAAGGGATCCTAGGAAGAGAGAGGGGTGTAGACTCAGATAGGGTCTCTTGGATCATTGCTACTCTTGCACCACCTTGACTCTTGAGTTTTTCTGTCCTACCTCCTCTTGGAAGCTCTCCCTTTTCCAGGTCTTGCATTACATAGGGACCTTGATAATGAAGCTCTTAGGATGGGATTGGAGCTGAATTGGTATAAAAATTCCATGTTGAAGGGACCTAGAAATGAGGTAAGCCCATTTAGGCAGGTTCTTTATGTCATTGACCAGGTAGCAAGTGGCTATTTATGCAGACCTGATCACATCTCTTCTGGAAATAACGGCACAGAAATTGTTTACCCCTGTCATCCCAGGGAAGAGATGGCTTTTGAAGTGGTTGGTCAGGGGAAGCTAGGGTCCTGGATGCCCAGCAAGGTCTCCTGGCTCATATCCCCTGTTTCTCTATGCGAATCTCCTTGGTTAAAAAAATAACCAAGAAAATTGAACCCTTTCCTTCAAGCTTAGCTTCCATTTTCTCTGCCAAATCTTCTGGACCCATACCTCCTATATTTACTCTTCCAGGGCCAGTCCCAGCCTCAGGACTCCTGGATTTTAGCACTGCCTCTTGGTGGGAACTGTCTTGAATTGCAACTCCAGCCCCTGCTTCAGGATTTCAGCCATTATTTCATGGTTGTAGGAGGGGGCAGATGAGGCCTTGAGGAAAAGTGTGATTGTGGGATCCCATGAGGCTGTGGCATAGGCCTGATTGACTTCAACAAATCTAGCTACTCTATACTCTCAGTGACACTGGGTGAGGTAAGGTATAACAAAGTAAAAGTCATGGCTCTGTCCTGAAGAGGTTTACAGGCCTTAGATTGTTCATTTTCTTAACAAACTTCCTAAATGACAATTGCAGGTGAAAGGACTACATGGTATCCTTGTGAGGTTTCCCCAGAACTGTTATTTGGCCAACCGTGAGTAGCTCCCTCCTGTTGTCTGGGTTCTTGATGGTTCTGGTTTCAGCACTACCTGGGCCTTCTTCTCCCTCTGCAGGTTCATGGAGTTTGAGGCCGAGGAGGAGATGCAGATTCAGAACACACAGCTAATGAATGGGTCCCAGGCCCTGCCTCCTGCAGCCCCTCTGAAACTTGATGCTCCAGGGCCCCTGGCCCCTGAGGTTTGTCAGCAGCCAGGTAAGGCTACCCAGTTCTAATGGGAGTCATAGGCCAGAGGTTCAAAGGGAGTCACAGGCTAGAGGTTCAAAGGGAGGCATACAGAAACCAGTCATGGGGTATGGAAGGTATTGCCCTTGCTTCTGTCACTTTCCCGCCAATGAGTAGCATTTGATGTGCCAAACAGGACAAACATCGGAGGCTGGGTCCTCAGGTTCCCTTGGTCCCAAACTAGGTATTGATCTTGGCCAAGTCAACCAACGACTCTCTCACCGAAATTATAAATGCACCACATAATAACTCATCTGCCTAAGACATGGGGCTGGATCAGAGGACTTCTTGGAATTTCAGGGATTCTGAGATCTTTCATGCAGTGATACTCTTTCATGCAGTGATAACCTTTTCCCGTGGTTGGTACTGGTCTGGTCCAGCCCTGAGCCATTTCAGTGTACTCTCATAGTGTTGGGTGGCAGAAGCTATAGTCTCTATGTCACTTCCCATGTCTCTTTTTCATCGTACATTCCAGTGTACATTCCCAAGAAGGCAGCCTCCAAGGCACGGGCCCCCCGCCGGCGGCAGCGCAAAACCCAGAGGCCTATCTTTTCCCGCGGTTGGTACTGGTCTGGTCCAGCCCTGAGCCATTTCAGTGTACTCTCATAGTTTTGGGTGGCAGAAGCTATAGTCTCTATGTCACTTCCCATGTCTCTTTTTCATCGTACATTCCAGTGTACATTCCCAAGAAGGCAGCCTCCAAGGCACGGGCCCCCCGCCGGCGGCAGCGCAAAACCCAGAGGCCTCCAGTTCCTGAGGCACCCAAGGAGATCCCACCAGAAGCTGTGAAAGAGTATGCTGACATCATGGAAGGGCTGGTGGGGAGTCACTTGGCCACTGGGGAGTCAGATGGAAGACAGGAAGAGGAAGGAGAACAGCAGCAGCAGGAGGAAGGGATGTATCCAGATCCAGGTCTCCTGAGCTACATCGATGAGCTGTGTTCTCAGGAGGTCTTTGTCTCCAAGGTGGGCTGGGCCTGGGTGTCTGGTTTCTAGCAGATCCTGGGGTGGGAACTCCAGGGAACCAAAGATCTAGGGTTCTGCCTGAGGCAGTTAGGAACTAGGCTCTATTCTATACTGAGAAATGTGTGCGTGTACGCGTGCATGTGAGCGTGTGTAGCTGGTGGTTGTCATGGTTTATATCAACCCAAAGAAGCGGGGCTGGGGACTCATAGCTTCTCGAGAGCCTCTTGGCTCACAGGTTACCTCCTGTCAGACTCACATCACTTTTCCTTCTGTTCCAGGTGGAGGCTGTCATTCACCCTCGATTTCTGGCAGATCTGTTGTCCCCAGAACAACAGAGGGATCCCTTGGCCTTAATTGAGGAGCTAGAGCAAGAAGAAAGACTTAGTCTTGCCCAGGTAAATCTAGCGGGTAGGGAGTAGGAAATATCAGAACAAGAAGCTCATATGATTTTAGCTAACTCTACACTGTCTTGGATGGTATGATTTCTGGAGATGAATTGGGTTTTGCATGTAGAACAAGTAGCTGTAAGAGACTAAGGACACAGAGGGAAAGGGGAGCGTAAGGGCTCGAAGTGTGGGAATAAGGCCCAAGAAGGTGTAAAAGAAGAGCTATAGTATCTGTCACTTATGCAACTTGCTTGCATTCTCTGCCCAACTACCATGTTCTCACCACCCACTCAGTTACCCCTCACACAATCATGTTTAGCATGGTATTTGTTGTTTCTCCTTCCAGCTGGTCCAAAAGCGACTCCTAGCCTTGGAGGAGGAAGAGGATGCAGAGGCACCTGCAAGTTGCAGTGGAGTTCAGTCAGACTCAAGTCCTTCTGTTTCTGATGAGGATGAAGAAGGGGGTGGGCGACTTCGTCCCTCACCCGGGATTCGGGTGGCTGGGTGCCCCATTCGCCTAGGAAAGGCTGCTCCTCCAGGAAAGCGAGCAAGAGAAGTGCATGGTGGGCAGGAACGGGCCCTAAATGGCCCGAGGGAGAAGCACAGGGATGGGAACACCCTGCCATCCCCCAGTACCTGGGACCTGCAGCTAGAACTTGCAGCCCCACAGGGTAGTCAAGGGTCCATAGGTATGGAGAGAAGAGGGCCTGGGAAGATTACAAACCAGATATCCCCACATCAGGATGACTACCTGGGAGGTGCTGGGTCCCCCACTGCGCACTCCCTGGTGGCTGACAGGAATTCTGAGATTCTGCCCCTTTGCTGGCAGGAAGGCCCCCAGCTTGAGATTGTTCCCAGTTTGGATGTTGGCCTCACAGAGCCAGCTCCTCTGCAAGGACAGGCATTAGAAAAGCAGGTCCTGGGGTTGCAGACAGGACAAGAGATAACAGGTCTTGGAGCACTGCCTCAAGGAAAGGAGCTGTTTGCCGTGCCCCAGGAAGGCTCTTTAGGAGTCATGTGGAGAGATGACAGAGGTCCTCCCATGGTTCAAAGTTATGAGCAGAGCCCTTCCCTTAGAGTAGCTGGGGACACGGACGGGGCCTCTCTTAGTCCAGGACTTTGGCTTGGCAGTGAGATGGATGCCGTAGACTTGGAGTTGCCTTTACAAATCGAGGAGGTCATAGAGAACTTCCATGATGGGGAATGTGTACCTGAGGACCAGGGAGGCTGCCAGGCACTGAGCTCCGGAGGCGACATTTCTCTGGGTCCTGGAGAAACCACAGCACCTGGGGGTGAGGGGAGCAGTCCAAATCCCTGTGGAGGCACAGATGCCACTGCTGCCCTAGAAAAGAGAAACTATAGCCCAGCCTTGAGGCCTAAAGAAAATAGAGAACAGAGCCCTGAGGCTATACAGGATCCTGGTGATCTGTGGGCTGACAGTTGCCCCCCGTTGCTGGAAAGCAGTATTGGTGCCTCCACAATGGTTTCCAAAGAAACCCTCCTGCCTGCATGTCAAGACAATATTCTTATCCTGGGGACCCAGGATGTCTCTTTTCCTGAGGCCAGTCAAGAAGCAGTGAGCAGAGGCAATTCCATTTCTCCCCTGTTAGAAACCACAGATCCCAGCAACATACTAGATATTAGAGATGCCTATGGCCTCCCGCTAGGGGTCAGGGAGGATACTTGCCCAACAGATTTTAATTCTTATGACCTCCAAGGAGAGAGCAGGGAGGATACTGATTTATCCAAGCCTAAAGACCTTGCTCCCTTACTGGGGAATCAAGAGTCTTATGCACAAGAGACCCCCAAATCAACATCTCCTCAGGGCCTCGGAAGCACTTCCCCTCGATGGGGAACCAAGGATGCCTTAGCTCTGAAGGAAGCCTCTCCTGTTAGTGAAGGGTGTGTAAGGAGAGGAGGAGGAGGAGGAGGGGGAGGAAGATGAGGAACTCTCCAGTTTTGCCTACCTCTTGGCCTCTAAACTGAGTCTATCGCCCAAAGGGCCTCCTCTCAGTCCTCACCCTGCCTCAGGCCTGTCCTCCAAAGGTCGGGGGGTCCGGAAAGCATCCCACTCCCTCTCTGCTGAGGCAAGAAGCCTTGGCCAACCTCCACACCCTGTTGCTAAGTCTGGGAAGCGAGCTCTAGTTGGAGGTCCAGTCCCTGATGAAAAAAGGTCCTACCTGGGAGCTGAACTTGGGGTCTCTGGGGAAAAACCCCTGGTTCTGGAAATGGTTCGACCCTCACAGCCGCGTAAAAGAAGGCGTGACAGTTTTGTCACGGGCAGAAGGAAGAAACGTCGTCGTAGCCAGTAGGGAGCAGCAGGACCATCCTATCCCTCCTGCCAGTCTCTGAAGCTGCCCACCTCCACCCCCCAGTAGATTTCACTAGACTTGTTCTCAGCCCTGTTTTGTGGTTCTGCAAAAATGAGTGTGGGGAGAGAGGTCACACCAGCTAGGCTGGCGGTCATGCCCTGGGTGGAAGGTGAGGGGGAAGTACCATTATTGGAAGGAGTTGTATGGATAAAAAAATAAATATTTTTTTGTTGTTGGAAAATATTCTTAATGTGCTTGTTTGTACTCATGTCTTTTGCTTCTAGATGGGGTAAGATGCTGTAAAGATAGGGTGGCCTTGGATTATACAGATTGACACCTTTCCAGCCTTTAGCCTTCCTTAGGCTCCCTGATAAGTCCCACCTCTGAGAAGTCCCCAGTGAACACTTCTTTCCTCCTCTTATCAAAGGCCTGGTCTTAGGTACTGGGAGGGGCGATTGTGGACAGCCTGTCATGTCGCTGTTTAAAAGTCTATAATGGAAAGACACTTTTTTTTTTACCTGTCAGATCTCTGGGATAGGTCTCTAATTTTCTAAATTTAATTTTCCATAATTGTGTCTAGACAGAGCACCTTTCTTCAAGAGGGCCTTGTTTTCTTCTTTGGAAAGGAGCTGGACAGAAAGGACTCAAGTGTCCCCAACTCATCCCATGGCAGGAAAACCTTCCTGTGTAGTTGGTTGGACTCGCAGAGGAGGCATCAATTTCGGTAGGATTATTAAATATGGAATGGTTAATTAGCTATTTTTTAATCTCTAATGAGGACAGAACAAGAGGGAATAGGTTGAAAAGAGGTTCATGAGGAACACCTGTTGAAGTGTGCATATATATATAGGGCATGACACGAGGAAAAGATATGAGGGTTGCATGATTTCTGTGCAGGAAAGTGCCCTGTCCAACTGCGAGTTGAGGAGGATTCATCCAGCTCCAGCCAAAAGAACTAGGAAACCTTCAGGATTGTCCAATGGGCAGCAGGCAATCTTAATCCCTTTCTTTCCCAGTTAATGAAACCATCAATGTGACTGAGCTGCATTTTTCTTAAATAGATATAGATATATATTTATATTTATATTTATATATAAAATAGTTTCTTACAAAAAATCAAACAAAAAGTGAAAATCAACTTAATAAAACAAACTTAATAAAACAAACAACAATAACAAAAAATCAAGCAGGAGCAGAGAGGGCGTGAGGCCCAGGGTCAGCCCCTGGCGCTGCCCTGAGTCTGTGGGCTGGATGCGAGCTGGGGAGGTGGAGGCGCTCAGTCGCCCTTCTGCTTGGGCACGTGCACAGTCCCATTGGCCAGAGCAGTGGGGCTGCCTGGGGATGAGGCATTTGGTGTCTGGGAGGGGCGCAGGTAGGTGCTGAAGAGCTTCCCGTGGAGTGGGTCACGGAGGGAGAAGTCCTGGAACTGACCTGGATGCAAGAGTGAGATGGGGAAAAGTCAGATGATCTGAGGAGAGGAAGAGGGTACCCTGTTTTTCTTTTCTCAGAATTGGTATGTCCTGTCTCTCTTGTTTCTGTTTCATTTCTCAAATATAAGTTGATGCCCTTTCTGCCTTCCTAGCTGGTTCCTCCCAGCCTCACCTCTCAAATGTTCTGTTCCCTGGCACTGGCCGCCAACCCTTGTTCCCTCCCAGCCCAGTGTTGGGTAGAGCGCCCACGCGGGCAGAGAAGGCAGTGACTCACAGAGGGAGAGGCCTTGGTCGGATCCCGCCTGGCACAGCTCAGCATGCAAAGTCGCAGCAGCTGGGCGGGGTGACCCAAGCAGCAGGTGCAGGATGGTGCTGAAGCCGTCTCTATACAGCAGGCGGCCAGGTCCCTCTGCTTGCTCCTCGGCGAAGAGCTGGGAGAGAAGGGACACCAGGCAAGCCCTCCCCCTCATGCCATTGCCCCACACTACCCGGGAGGTCTGCCTGACAGGCTCCACCTCTTCCAAGAATGCAGAGCACAGGCCCTCCCTATGCCCCTGGGTCCTTTCTGCAGGAGAATTCTAACTTCATAACTGCTGTCCTCTTCCTGTTCCCAGCTATGCCTCAACATAGAGACGCTGGGGCTCTGCAGTTTACAGTGTGGCACTGGGGTGGATACCAAGCACCTACTATCTAGAAGCTACTGATAACAGTGCGCCACACCACACAGGCTTCTGGGTGGGGTGAGCACAGCTATGATGTCCCCTCCACTCCCAATCCCCTGGTACCTCAAAGGCCAGGAGAGTCAGCTCCTCAAGGTCCCTGCTCCCATCCAGAGCTGCCAGTGCAAGGGCCACATCTCGGAAGTCCACCAAACCGCTGGCATCCTGGAGGGTGAAACAGAAACTGGGCGATGCAGGGCCCAATGCTGTATCCCCGCTCCTGCTCTGGATTTTGGCTCCTCCTTCTTCTCAGCATGGATGGGGTGACTCCGATGTCTGCTTCTCTCAAAGCTATAAGCCCTAAACTCTCTAGGTTCCCTGCTAATTTTTTCAGGTCATGGGTTTGCTCAACCTATTCCAAGTGACCTGGTGATAAAGCTCTCCTAAAAAGGGATCACCTAGGACTGTTAGGAAATCCTTCAGGAATGCTGAAGTTGCCATGAAGTTTCTGACATACCACCAGAGGCATTCCTGACTCCCACAGTGGAAAAACTGGTTCTCTCCTGAATCATCCTATGTAGGAGAACTGGTCCAACAGACTAAAAGGGGGCTATTGGTATAATTTCTTACAAAAAGCCCAAGAAGGAGGTCTACTCTGCCAACTCTATGGGGGACTATGGCATTTGGGTTTTGGTTCTTTTCTGCTACAGGCTAAGTGGGGAAACTCCTTTCAGGTACAGTCTGTCTCAATCTAAGAAATCAACACAGCTGGTCTCTGTCCCTTCAGAGGACATTGAGAGCCACAGTCTACATCTTAGATCAAAAAGAGCTCCTTGGGACACTGGTGGTTGTTCATAAACATTAAAAATATACTGAGACAATCTTATTATAACGCAACGAGAAAACCTGGTTAAGTCCCAGGAAACATGGTTTGCCAAGGTTCTTGAGAAACGTTCAGAAATTCCCCAGAGAAGCTGTGGGATATTTTTAAAAATCTGCCCAAGGATTGCAAAGTACTTCTGGGTCTAACGCTCTTAACCGTCTAAGCTGTCCAGTGTTGTCTCCTTCATGTCCCCTTCCCACCTGACCTTCATGACTTTTCTCTGAAATCCTTATGCAGTGTCCCACAAGGTCATACGATCTTTGTCAACCTCTAAAGTGGCTTCAGAAATTTATGGACCTCAATGATCGATTATTTTTCTCCATTGTTCCTCACCACAATGATTAACACATAGCTCTGTGATGGACTGGATACTCTATAAAAAAATGAACCCCCCGGCAGACTTCAGAAGATGGTCATCTGACAACAGCTGTTAGAACATTTAGTGCAGACTCCAAATTGGCCATCCACTGAGACTGACATGGCTGTGGGGATACCATCCTTAAATCCTGAGCGCTGCATTCTGCGTTCCAGCTCCTTTACCTTCTGGAAGTAGTTAAAGGCACCAGCTACGGTCTGTGGGTCAGAGAGCTGCAGCTGCCTGGCAAACTCTTCCTGGCTGATCATTCGGTTCCGGGCTGGCTCTGCCCCAGCGTCCACATAGCCAGGGGACAGCCTACAATGGAATTGTTGAAGGCAGAGAGCTAACTCAGTTTCTTTCTGGGCTTATCACCCAGCAGGACCTTGGTCCCTGCCCTAAGAATTTTCTAGCACAGGTACAGCTGGTGTTTTTCTAAGGTGTACTCTGACTCATAGTCCCTTGTGTACCCTTCCTACTTTTTCTATCAAGGTTATAACACACCTTTCTCTTTCTTTTTCCCTTTCATTTTACTCCATTATTGTTAAAAAATTTCTCTACTTTCCTATTTAAAAAATTTTTTTAAAGACTTTTCTTCCTCCTCCCCATTTCTCCTTTCTTCTTAGACTTTTTATCTGTCTATATATGACACTGCCCATATCGTCATCTTCAAGATCACTTACCCAGCATTGCGAAGTACTTTTCCCAGTTCCCAGAGCTGTGGCTCCAATGCTACCTTTAGCCGACCCACCACAATCACAGGCAAGCTCCCTACAAACTCACACTCAGTGGCTGGAATGCCCAGGGCCCTACAGGATGAAGAAGGATGGAATGGAGGGGAAATGAGGCAGAAGAATCTTCTGAGGGTTCATTACTGACTGACCTGCTGACTGGGCAGAGGACATGAGGCCCCTTTAACCCCCGCCTCCCCCAGTCTCAGTTGTCCAATAGCCCTTCTCACTGCTCACTCCCTAATCTCTGCCTTAAAACCTCAGCGCCCCCCGCCCCATCACTCCTGTGGTCCCTTTGCCTAGTATATCTGCTCTAGGAAATACTTTGTGGGACACTCACTGTGCCATAACCCTCTGGACATTGTTGGCATACAGGGTGGGGTCCCTGCTCTCTTCTGGGCTGGGGTGGTACACAGGGAGGAACTGAAACACACACAGTTCTCATCAAGACTTCAAAGATAGGGATGACCACTTCCTTCCACCCACCTGCCGCCCCGCCCCATGGAAGTCATACCTCCACATCCACAATGCTGCAGGGCTGAGAGGCTGTGAGCCAGAGGACTTTGAGTCTAAGAAAAGAGAGAACTCAGATGTTCACCAGCCTCCCACTATGGGCTCCTCCAACCCCAAATAGGGGAGTGGGGAATTTCATCCATATAAAAATGGATGCCTGGCCATATAGTCAGCTAGGTCAACGTGCAGTTGGGAGACAGAGGGAGAGGCCAGAAAGGTGGTAGGGAA